TTACTCCTTCCCCAATGCTCTCCTCACCTCCCATCCCCAAACCAGCTCAAATATCACTAACCCCGGGAGCCTTGCTTAAGTGTACATCAGAGCTTTCTGTTACCAGTGACAGAATGGATTCAAAAGTGAAAACATAGCTTAAAAATTATCTATCACGTGTCTATCATCTATCGAAGGAGGCTTCAGTCACAGCTGCATCTAGGTGACGTGATGAGGTCAAGCTTTTGTCTTTGTTTCTTGGTTCTTTCCATTCCTTGGTTCTCTCTGCTCTGCATTGCCTTCATTCTCAGCCAGAACCTCTGCATGCTGTGGAAGGGCTGCCACCTGGCTCCTACCTGGGGCAGAGTGCCAATGCATAGGCTTTTTGTTGTGCCATTCCTATTGGCCCAGCTTGAGTCATGTGCCCGTTCCTGAGCTAGTCGCTGTGGTTGGTAGGTGAGGGTGACTCTGCTCCTCCAGGTCTGGGTCATGTGTTCCTGGGCTGCTGCTGGTGAAAGCCTCACTCAGCTTCCGTGGTCCGAGGATGGGGGCAGGGAAAGGGGCTTGTACCAGAAGTAAAGGGAATAAAGTCTGGCCTGACACAACCAATAGATGTCTATTAGGTTGAACCTTATAAAGTTGTCAATATTCAAATGTATTTTATCTACAAAAATGGTGATTCACACTACACAACCTAAGACGTTAGCCCACTGGCCTTAGTCTGGTCCCTCAGTATATGCTCCCATAGAATTGATCCATATGCAATATCATCCATCATACATTCTGCAGCTGCTTACTCCATCCAGCCAATGGATTTGTTGAATGTGTGGCTATGACAGCCTCTGAAGTTTTGACTACCAGCCTCGGCCATCTTCCCAGGCCTCCTGGGAGGAGGTGCAACTGTAGCGCCTCTGGCTTTGTGCGTGGGGCTGAGGTTACCGAAGGCAACTAGCCCAGGCCTCTAGCATCCTGGCACCTGGACCGGAGTTGGTACTCCATAAATATTCATTGAATGAATGTGCTTAATTAGTTTTCTAACACTGTTTATTGCTGTTAGAAATATGCAAAAAATAATATGACATGATTTCTTGTTGGAAAAATAATTAAAAATAAAATCCCCTGCCAACCAGATGAATCCTCTCCACAAAATGAAGAGAAAAATGAACTGGTTTTATTACTGAATAAGAATTAAACTAGACCATGATGCACGTCACCAGCACTCCATGAGAGAGGTGGAAAGACAATAAAATCTTACCCTTCATAGCCAGGCAGAGACAATCCAGGACACGCACACACTAATCATCTTCATCTGAAGGCCAGAAAGAACTTCTTGTAGCTTTTCTGCAAACAGGGAATTACAACTTGGAGCCAGTGCCGGGCTAAACCCTCATAGTGACAAGGAGTCCGGAACCATCTTCCTTGATGCTCACATTTCAAAGAGACACAAAGCCTTCAAGAAAGATATTCCTGGGATGCAAAACTGGCAGGAGGCCTAATTAGATGAGATGATTTACAGGCATCTCAGAGAGAAGAGGAATGGATTTCTCTGGACCGCAGGCCGACGCTTTAACCACTGAGCCAAACCGGCCAGGGCGAAAAGGAATGGATTTCTAATGGTCAGTTTTCTAAAGGAAATGCTAAAAGAAAAGGGAGAGGAGAAAAGATCTCTTTCCCTTTGGCACCACGGAAATTTTAAATTTAATTTGTGAGGGGATTTGTATTGTAGTGGATAAAACCTCCCCCCACTACCCTCCAAGATTCAGTGGTGGGGGTGGGTTGTAACAAGGAGACAGGGAAAGATGGCTGAGGAGACCCCAGCTGCTCCAGTCCCAGACATTTGAATGACTACATCCTGGGGTGACTCTGGTCCCTGCCACTGTCTACACAACCATGTGAGAGACCCCAAATGAGAACTACCTGACCCAGCTGAGTCAACCACCAGAACTGTGAAGTGATAATGAACACTTGCTGGATTTTCATTGATAGATTTGGGGTTAATGGGTATAAGAGTGATGGAAACAACTTAGGGCTGGGAATCAAAAGACCAAAGTTTCAGTACCAGAAATCCTATCTCTCAGCTGTGTAATCTTCACCAAATCTCAGTTTCTTCATCTGTTAAATGGGTATATTGCTATTTCCAAGTGAGATTATTCTCCTTTTGCCTCATCCCTCCCAAATTCATTTTCAACCTTCTCTACATGGGAGGTTAAACTCTATGGACATCTTCTTCCTGCCGCTTCACTCCCCATCTGCCTGCCTTGTCTCTGGCTTTGGGTTGGTTCAGCCAATGGAAGACTTTGCCAGGAGATCAGTGGGCAGCAGAAGAGAGAAGTCAGGCTATTTATCCCACCACCTGATGCCCTTGCCAGGCCACAGTTTTGACAGTGCCTGCACTGCTCTGTGGTTAAGTTCATGTGGGTGGCTCCTCTCCCATGGGCAGTTCTTGCTAGCTGGGAACACTGCTCTCTCTCCCTGCCTTTTATTGAAGAAAAAAATTATTCTGACATTCGTTAAAATTATTCTGACACTTTATTCTGTAATTTAATAAAGAAAGACTTTATTCAAGACTGTTGCAATAGGGGAGAAAGATTGAACTCAACTTGGAATACAAGAAAGGGTGAGCGGGGATTTATAGACAAGCTGGTAAGGGGGTCAGTGGATGGAGGATGACTAAGAGCAGACATCAAGGGTAGGCAGATTCTTGCTAAACTGACAGGGTTTAGACATCAAAGATGGGAGACGAGGAACTTGGTCAGATATCAGCAGTAGGTGGCTTCTCACAAAACTGATGGCAGGATTCTTACTGAGACTGGGCTAGGCAGGCCAAAAACAGATAGGGCCTAGTCAAGAAGAGAACTCAGAGGAGCCTAAGTAAAGTGTGGACAAGAGAGTGTCTTTGTCACCCTGCAGGCCTATTGTTGCTGATCTCTGGCTCCTCACTCTCCCTTGTTGGTTGTTTTTAGCCCTGCCTACACCTTTGCACATAGTCACGTTACTGCACTCTCTTCAATTAAACCATGTGAGCAATGGTTTCTCCCTTTACTGCCAGCCACTGACTTCTGGCCCTACCTGACCCACAGACTTGTTTTGAGGATCAAATGAAATGATGTGTGCAAAAGAGCTATGGAAGCCCAGGGTAAAGGAATGAGAGGGACCCTGGTACAGTGCAAAAGGCATGGGCTTTGGACTCCATCCTGGGTTCAAACCCTGGCCCCTTTCCAGCTGTGTTGTTGGAGGCAAGTACTTATTGTCTTCCTCGAGACTTACATTTTCACCCTTAGTTAAGAAAAGGAATTCTCTCTGGTGTAGTCTTGGAGGATGTGATATGACAACACACACTAAATTCCTACAAGCCTCCCTCACACATGACAGGTATTAAATTTGTCATTAGCTCCCTACCTGTCCCCCAACCTCTATTACAAAATTGTTTTTCTCAGGTGGGTTTTACAAAGCCACTGATGCACCCAAGGCTTCTGAAAGGGCTTCTCACAGAGCACTTCAGACCCTTTTCTCAATGCTCTGAGAGGCAGAGCCCCCCACCCCCATGATGGAAGAATGAATGGCTTGGCACAGGCCAGAAATTTATTGACTTGCCTAGAACAAATGTTGTTTTGCTTTTTCAGTGAAGATCATGAAGTTCTGGTATAGAACACATATTGCATTTTTGTTTTCTTTTTATCTCTTTCCATCAAAAACAAATAAGTAAACCAAAACAACCAATACATACCGTGGTTACAGAAAATATTCAACCAACAGAGAAGTCTATACAGTAAAAATTGCAAGTCCTTACCTCATGCACTTTCTGATACATATTTCAGGTATCGGAGTAATGTTTTAGTTTCCAGTCTAAATCTCGAACCAACTGAGAATAAGATGAAGACAGATGGGACCAAATATCTCTTTTATTAGTGATAATATTGATCTTGGAGAATGTTGTTCATAGTTGTGGGCAAGTGAACCCCAGAATCAGATAGATCACCTCCCTGTCACTAATGTTATTGGATCAACACAGTCAGAGCCTTGGCCACCAATGACAGCCTGGCCCAGGGCAATTCAGTTACAGGTCCTCTGCAGGTAGAAGGGCTGTCAAAGGAAGGGAGAGTTGTGGGGCAGAACGTCATGCCAGTCCTTATCCCAAATGCATCACTCATGTAAAACTGACCTCACGTGTGTGTGTGTGTGTGTGTGTGTGTGTGTGTGTGTGTGTGTTGGGAGAAGGGGGATTAATGAGATGGGTAGAGAGAGGCCAGAAGGATTATACTCATGGCTGTTCTCCATGAGGAAGGAAACATCAGGGCGGGGCTGCAGTCCCCTTCCACATACATTATCTCCTGTTCTCTGCTCCTGTGGTGGTACTTTTACAAACATCCTGGAATAATCTTTCATTGGGCCCTTGGGTGAGCATCTCTATAGTGAAAGTTCCTAAAAGTGACTCATGTAAACTTTAAGTTGGCATGTGCTCAGTATTGACTGTGGACCTGGGAGCTGAAAGTGTTTTTTCCCTTTTATTTCTGTTGTGATTTACCAACCTCACCCTATCAGTAGCCTCCTCCCCACGCAGGAAGGCTGCTGAGGGCTGCAGCATCTCACTTTAACAGCCGTTTAGCAGTCCGACAGGAGAATCCATCCGATCAGTCACTGAAGTGCGATCTAGACTCTCCCATCTGACCTCTGAGTCGCATGTACCTGGACATGTCATTGATCCTCCTCCACCCTCTGTGCCCTCCTCTGTCAAAAACTGGTATAATATCACGTAAGGGTTTGGGGGAGGATTCAAGGAGCTGATGCATTTACAGTGCCCGGGAAAAGTCAAGATAGAGAGAGAAGAGGAAAGGGAGTGGGCACAGTGCAGAGGAAGTAAAAATTGGGTGTTGCTAAGCCAGCGTGCCCTCTCCGTCTCCTCCGGCCCCAAGCGGAGCCTGCGGGAGCCGGCTCCAGGCCCCGCGCCCTCCCTCCGCCTCCTCCCCGCCAGCCTGCGCGCCGGCCCCCAGCCAGTCGGGCGGGCGGAGGAGCGCGGTCAGCGCGTCTTATCAATGGGCCGGGCGGCTTAGCGCGGCCGGCTCGTCCGAGAGGCGCAGTCCCGGGCCTCCGCGGGTCGCGGGGCCCAGCCATGGCACCTCGGTGCGCGGCGGCCGGGCGGGCCCCGGGACCCTGCGGGGGGCGCTGAGCTGCGGAGCGGGCGGTGCGCTCGGGTAGGCGCCGTCGGGGCACTCGCGGGGAGCGTGCCGGGCACCATGCACCCCCGTCTGCCGCCGTGGCCGCGGCTGCTGCTGCTGCTCCTGCTGCTGCTCGCCGGCGCCGCGCACACGGTGAGTACCGCGCCCCTCGGCGGGCAGGGGCCCCCGGGGCCAGGCTGGAAGGGAGTAGCCGGGGCCCCCAGATCTGCCACTGATCAATAGTCCCCATCAATAGTCTCGATCAGCTTCAATCCAAAGGGCCCCCTCCCCTCAAAATAAACGTGTGCGCCAGGAGAGGGCAGCTCTCGGGGAGCCCGTCCTGGGGACCTGGGGACTGCACCTCTAAGGCGCCCCAGACGGAGATCCTGGATCTGTCCCTGGCAGCGCCTGTCGTGTGCTGGGCACTTGCATTATTTTGTTGAAATCTCATAATCTCCTTATGAGGTTGACATTATCATCCACACTTTACAGACATGGAAACAGGGACTCGGCAAGGGGCAAAAATATTGCCCTAAGAGAAGACAATTGGAACCCACATCCGCCTGACCAAAGCCTTGGCATTTTCACACACGGGGCTGCAGATGGGAAAATCGCAGAGAGCTCAGCCCGCAGCTTCCGGGTCTGGGACGGGACCCGGTCTGGGATGGGACCCGGTCTGGGATGGGACCCGGTCTGGGATGGGACCGTTTGCCGCTCCTGCCCTCTCTCTCCTGAGGGATTTGGCTCATGCCTGGGGGACCCATGGGAGCAGCTGGTCTCCACAATCCAGGTCCAGGGAGGAGCTGGAAGAGAAAGGAGAAGGCAGCAGAGTGGTAGCTGGTGTTTCTTTCCCACAGAAACTCCTGGGAACCGCAGTCCTCTCCCCGTGGGGTTTGTGGAGTGGCTGCACCCGACTGGCCGAAGGAAAGGGGGGCGGCGGGAGGCGGAGAGGTGGAGGTGGGGAGTGTGGGCTGCAGATTTTAGAACTGTTTCTTTCCATCAACACTCCAGACTGGCACCCAAGGCCTCTGGCCCAAGAAATTCCTCAGAGGAAGCACTTGGGGACCCAATTTTGAGTCTCCAACCTCTGTCCGGGCAAGTCTCTCCTGGTGTCTAATTGCCCTGTTGTAGTCCTCTCCTGTTTGTTCATAGAAAAGCCTCAGCTCCCTGAGTTGATGGGAGTGATGACAAGCAGTAGGTGCCCACCTTTCTGGCAGGTCTGTGACATGCCAGCAGCAGCAGTTTGGAAGAGTGGAATTTGGGGATCTTGCCCCCACCTCCCTGGTAATGTTGGAATTTCTGCTCAGTGCTGGTGTTGGAAGGAGCTAGAGTAACAGGACTCACTCATTAGTCTGAATTCCCAATTGGGGGAAAAGCCACCTGGGGCACTGGGGACAATTCGAAGCCAAATTCAGCGTAGAGGTGTGTTATTATTCAGTGCCCAGGGATGGGAGAGGCCTCTAGTTTCCTCTTTGTAACCCTCCCAGCCTTCTTCTTAAGATTTTGCAGTAACCTTGAGATTGTCTGAAAAAAATCAACAAGTCTGAGGCTCAACCTACATTTTAACCTCAAGGGGACCCCCATGTTATCTCAAGAATAAGTAGAGGGGAAAATCATTTGGTTCAATTACTCTGTGTGCCTTAGAAGGATGCTTCATTATGCTCTGGTCCAGTTCCCTCCTTTCACAGATGAGCAAACTGCGACCACAGAGAGAAAGGACACATCATTTTCATACACTCACTGGTACTGCCTTGTATTATTACCAGATAGTTTCCTGTAAGTCTTGGTCCTCTGGTTATTTTATGGGTTTATTTAGACCTAAGGTCTCATACTTCTTGGTAGAGAACTCCTTTAATAAATAGGAGTGGAATTGACTTACTTTGATTGGCATATTTCCCAGCCTATGAAATGCTATTTTTCTTCTGTGGGGCTGAATGGTTAGACACTTGATTTTGCAATATAAGGATATTCACACAATTTTTTATTCCTTTGGGTCTCTCCCAAAGGAGAGCATAGGCACCTTCCTACTGGGAAGTCATTAAGGCCACATTGCTTGTAACTACCCCTCTCCCTTTTGGCTTTCCAGACAGGGAGGAGGGAACCTTGTAAGTGAAAACCAAAAAGTGATGATGGGGGCATTTTTCTGAGATTGCCATAGGCAACCCTGCCCATCCCTCCCTTTGCCACCTTCACTCCCATGTATCCATCTCATGAGGACCTGCACCTGGGACAGTGTTGTAATTATTCACTAGCACCTCTGTCCTCCTCTCTTCCCCAATACGTACACTTGGAACTTGAGCACTGAGACTTAGTTTTCATCATCCTTCATCCTCAATGATTGTGTTGAATGAATGAATGAATGCATGAATGCGTGACTTGATGATCACATCCACAGGACTGTCTTATGCTGTGGCAGTTTCACATAGCAGCAAGTAATGAAGAATGACATCTTGAAAGCAATCGCTGCTTACAAAATTGTACATCAATGTGTCAAGCAAAGGAGAATTAGTCATTCAAGGTAGGGTTTTTAATCCAGGGCATCTGGCTAACTGCCAACTTGATAATCTTAGTGAGTTAAGTGGGTGTGTGGGACTCCTTTTCCCTTCAATCACGGTTTCGTAACTTTGACACTGTAATCTTGGATCTTAAATCTGGGCGTTCAGCAAGGGGTGCCAGGAAGAGAGTTATGCCTTTCCTTGGCATAAGTGGAAATAATGGGGTGGGGACAATAGGGACAGGGTGGAGAGAGGGGAGTCGGAAGATTCTTCGTTGTGTGTCCTGTGCATTGTGTGATGTATAGCAGCATCCCTGGCCTCCACCCACTAGAAGTATCTGTCCAAGTTGTGACAACAGAAATGTTTTCAGACATTTCCAAATGCCCTCTGGGAGACAGGAAGGGCAAAACTGCCTCTGGTTGAGAACCATTGCCTTAAAGGTTGTCATGTTTCAGGGGAAATGCATTAACAGGGCTAATCATAGGTGTTAATTGCATGTTGGACGCAGGGCAGTGGGGTTGACGACAGGCAATCTGAGTTGGAAGACGGAAGCAGGTGTATCTGATGAAATCCATTTCCAAACCAGGTACAAAGGCTTCTGCGGGCAATGGCTTCCCCGACCTTTTACACCTTCCCGTCCCACTTTCCCCTCCTCTGTCTATCCCTCCTCAGTTGAAGGCTCCGAAAAACAAAAGCTCCGAGTCTAGGATGTGGCATATAGACACCCAGCACTTGTGGTCCCTGCCCCTTCCTGTGGCGCACCTGGATCCGGAGGCTGACGCTGGGTGGTGTCTCCGTGAGCAGAACTTTAGGAAGGTCTGCAAGGGCCACCTGAGGAGTTGGCTATTGATAACTCTTCAGAGGAGGGTCACTGGGGTTTTTGTACACCTGAAAAATCACTTTCTGATTTTCTGAGTAAGGGCTGTGGACTTCTTTTAAATTTTTTATTCTCCCTAAGATTAACGTGAATGATGAGGATGATGATAAAGTCTCCCCTACTGAACACTATTTCACCCTCTATAGTCTGCTAAGTCCTTCCCTGCACTATCTGATTGAATTATCACGTCAACTGTTAGTACCCCCAGGCCAGTGCAGATGAGGACACGGAAGCCATTTGCTCAGGTCACCAGCTGCAAGTGGTGGCGTGGGGACTCAGCCCCGTGTTCGGAACCTGCTCACGCACCTGCTCCCGTGGAGAAGCTGCTCTGGTGGCTGGTGCCCACGGTGCCGTTGCACAGTTCTCTCCCCGTCTCAAAATGACATTACATTCAGTTTAACTTAATAGCTTTATAAAACATAAAACAAATACTGAAATACACACGGTGTTTTATTAAGGGAGCCGGAGAGGAACTCGGGGTCACCAAATCAAACAAGCAGGAGGTACATGTCACAGACTGCTAAACAGTCCCCTTAGCTTTGGCATCACCTTTTTGGTGTTCCCATTGAGCTCCTCTCCCTCCCCCCTGGCCCCACCGTTACCTCCCGTGCCAAGCGCGGGCGCAGCTTTCTTCCTGGCACTCTGTTGAAAGCCCAGACTTAGCACTGAGCATCCGAGCTCTGCCACCAGATCAGCCCCTCCAGTGGCCCCTGATTTGGACCCCGCTTCCCTTCCCTTAGCAAGCTGAGGTTTCTCACCACTGACCTTCACTCAGGCTCCGGGACAGCCTGCAGCCCAAGGTAAAGGCCACAACACTCAGATCCTATCTACTTGCTTACACTGTAAACAGACGCAGTCGCTCAACCTTCATGTGGACTTGAGAGAATGAGAATAGGCCCACCCAGCCTCACCATTCTGGGCCCCAGAGAGTCCCAGGGCCCTGGGGAAGGGACATCCTGGTTGATTGCCTTCTTGGTCCCAACTCATCGTGCTGCCAGGATCCCTGGGTTTTCCAGAGGCTTCTTCAGAAGCCCCGTCTGCCCAGCATCAGCTCCCTCACCCCTGGCTCTCAGAGGCTCTCTCTGATGTCTTCGTGTCTTTTCAAAGTCCTGACCTTACCACCTCCCCTTCCACTTTTAACACACTGGTCTGCCTCCCATTTCCTGAGAGTCAGGACTATGTGGATGAATGTCCTCCGACCGATATCATGGGTGTGTCTAAATGATATCCCCCTATTCTCTTCCTTCTTATCTTCCTCGGTCAGCTAGGGCTGCCATAACAAGCCGCCGATGAGGGGCTGAAGCAACAGGCATTTATTTCTCCCAGTTCTGCACACTGAACATCTGAGATCAGGGGCCAGCTCGTGGGATTCTGGTGAGAGCCCGATTCCTGGCTTGCAGATGGCTGCTCTGTCCTCACACGGCCTTTCCTCTGAGCAGGTGCGGACAGACAGACAGAGAGTGAGCTCTCTTCAGCCTCTTCTTAGAGGGATGCTAACCCTATCAAACCAGGGCCCCACCTGTATGACCTTGTTAACCTTAATTACCTCTTTCTAGGCCCCACCTCCAAATACAGCCACACTAGGGGTTAGGGCTCCAATATACGAATTTGGGAGAGATACAAACATTCTACTCATAACACCATCTGAGTGAAATAGAGGCTCTACCTCTGCCTCGGCCAGTCCCTACACCTGTGCTCCCGATCCCTGCCCCCATTCTAAGTGACTTCTGTTCTGAGACGACAGAATGCAGCCACTGTACCCAATCTCTACCATCTTCCTC